GTTTTCAAACCCCCCCCCCCGGGTGCAAAGCACCTTGACAATGTGTAGAGTCCTTGTGTTATTTATTATTAATCTGCCAGTTCTTATTGACTGCCATTTTATATAAACAGTGTTTCCCCTGGCATGATTGTTGGCTGATATCAGGGCCTTTACACTATACAGATTATAAATAACTCATCTGTAAACATGCACATGGAAATCATACCATGACCATCAAGGTGTGTTCATCTGTTGTAATAATAAAACTGTCACTCTACATGGCTATTGTAGGTGACAATTATAACATTAATTTAATAAATTCATATTTTCTTTTCATAATGTTTGCCTTTATTTAAAGCAGTCTTACATTCCTAAGATGTGCTTTGTGCCATATAATTTCCTTTAAAAGTTGCAGGTATGTGCTGCATTTCTTGATACATTGTGCTCCATGCAGTGATAAAAACTCAGTTAATACTTCAATTTTATAAATAAGCAATTTTGTGGGACACCAATATCTAATCTGCATAGGATTATGTTTAGTAAACTGAGCAGCCATGAATAACATTTATATTGGTTAAAACAGCAAACTTTCTGAACATTGTCCATCATCTAGAATTTTTTTGTTAAAAGACCCATTTCATAGACTGGAATCTGTCTCAGCCCTCAGGTAAAAACCCCCATCATCACAATCTGTTTTTGTTTGTCCCCCTTCTTCTTCTTTCCACTTAGGCCCGGCTATGTCTGATAACACTTTTGTTTTGGGTTTTGAAAGTCTTTTGGATTAGATGATTCTGAGATATCGTGTGATGATATACCATTATTCTGCATAATGAAAAAACAGTGGCTGAACCCATCAAGAAATGCTGGGTTTATTCATACAAAATTATTATATGGAAAAGATCCATTGGTTACTGACTGCTGTTAGCTTCCAGTAATCAAGACATCCACTTTTGACTTCAACGAAGTGTCCTGTTTCTAAGAGAACTATCCAAAAGTTATAACATATGCCATTTTTATGCCACTGTAAATTATCACCAATGCTATGACTGTCACAGTATCCACAAGCTGTAGCACACATTCCCTTAAAGATTACATTCTAACAGTACTTCCACAGAAAGAAATGTACAGGCATACCTCAGAGATATTGCGGGTTCAGTCCCAGACCACTGCAATAAAGCGAGTCGTACAAATTATTTGGTTTCCCAGTGCATATAAAAGTTATGTTTACACTATACTGTAGTCTATTAAGTGTGCAATAGCATTGTCTAAAAAAACAATACAAAATCATTGCGAGAATTACCAAAATGTGACAGAGACACAAAGTGAGCACATGCTGTTGTAACAATTGCACCGATAGACTTGCTCGACACAGGGTTGCCACAAACCTTCAATTTGTAAAAAAAAAAATGCAATATCTGCGAATCGCAATAAAATTATGTATGCCTGTATTAATCATAATAAAAATAATTATAGACTAAAAATATCCGTCTTCACCTGATGCATAAATGTAATATCACATAATTCTACGCCATGAAGTTAATATTGATTGCTCAAAAAAGACAACATGAAGGATGAAATGTTTAAATACATTTTGGATTTCTTGGGGGTACATTCATTATGATTTCACATTGTTCTTATTAAAATCAGATAGTTTAGTTAGTATTATATATTAAGGATAATATTAGGAATGCTACTGATACTAATTTGGGACAGACTTGGACATTATTTAGTTGGTTCAGTTAGCTTCTACTGCATTTATTCAGAATTTATTATACAGATGCCAGTATTCATTCAGGTGCTATTATAATCAACCAGAAACTGGACCATGACAATTCATAACCAGACCTTCATGAATCTGACGAAGATTTGAGAACCATCTCAAGGCCTTAGAATAATTGGTACAGTTAATAGTAAACCTTCCAGGAAATCCCATCTGAATATGTTCAGTCACTTCAAGCTATTCACAGAAGAAGGCAATGGCAAACCACTTCTGGATCATCTGCCAAGAACGTATATGAACAGGTCCCAGTCCGAGAAAAGGATGGAAGGATCCTGTTCATATGGACCTGTCGTCAGACAGAACACACACACACACACACAAAAAAGTACAGGAAAATCTGGTAAAATTAAATTTTGTCTCTTAATATAGGAAATGACTTATAATAACCCTTATAAAGAATGTGTTGTAGTACATCTGAAAAATGTAGTCATAAAAGATAAATCAAGTTACAAATATATTTTCCTTAAACCTGTCTGAGGTCATAATTGCTTATAAGAAAAGTGAAGCTGTCCCACTACAAGGTATTAGGTGGTCAGCATCACATCCCTGCTGCACTTTACCCCAGGGGAAGACCCCTCAGTACCCACTGGATGTGAAGCAGAGCTGGCCCCAGAGCCAGTCTGGACATAGAAACTAAAAGAAAAATCCTCTGCCCATCTGCAGTATGCATATTACAAATGTTATATATCACAGTATGTTAACATGAAAATTACCAATGTGCAATATGCCTTGCAACAACTTTTTCTATGATATCAATATGACTGGCATATAGTGACAGATCACAGCCGATATCCACCCAACGAACATTTACTGCATCATCACCAGCACATAAGGGGAATGCACCAACAGAAGTTCCACTATCATCATGAAAATTCACTGCAACAGTTTCGATCCACGCATTATCAGTATTCCGAGGATCATCAACATAACCACGGTACAGATTTTCTCCTTCTTCAAAAAATTTACCTATTGTGGCTTTACACTTTTCTCTTTCAGCATAGTCACTTTCCAACACATTCAACGCTTCTTCCATGAATTCTCTTTTCAAAGTTGATGTAACCATTTCACCAGGATCAACCATTCCACCAGGTATTGCCCACTCTCCAGTATCTCTTCTTTGAATGGCAACAAATTGAAGAATTGGTTTATTTGTATTTTGATGAATTTCAACATTATCTGATTTGTCTCGCCTCCATCTTGTTACAACAGGGTCAGCTGCATGATTTGGACCCCACCTTCCCAACACACCTCTACCCCTTAGACCTGTACGTCCTAATGGATTTAATGGGTATGAGTCTACAATCTGATAAACTCCCATGTAGCTTTCCCGGTTTATATTGCCATCCATTTTATTCCATTGTGGGTGAAAATTACTGTCAGTTATGTCAGGATCTGCCCAAGGTTGTCCAACAATATGTGACGCTGTGTATGTTAGTGGATTATACTCTTCCCATTTTGTATCCCATGGCACTTTTTCATCGGGTACCTGAACACGCGATTTAGTATTATTCGTTCTTGGATAATAGTAATGGCTTCTACATTTTCGATGAAGCATTCTGAACAAATGTGTCAGTCTACCAAGTGACATGTAACCTACTACTAATCCAATAAGTCTGTCCAAATATATCGAATATGACTGTACAAGATACACCGCCACTTGTTCACCCAGAAAACTTACTTAGGTTGGGTTTTTCAAGAATCAATAAAAGTCCTTCGCATGCAAACGGTCAAAGAATTTTTCCGATCTCTATCACCTTGTTGCGTAATTACGACTACATTATGCACCAAACTTGCATAGAGCGAATCAACAGGCATTAACAGGGAATTTTATTTCCCACTTGTGTTAGAACTTTACCACACATTGTACCAACATGCTACCACAAATAGAAAACCGAGGTGATCGAGGGTACCAACAATTGAAATGTTTTCGTCGGCTAACCTTCAGAATAAAATGATATTAACCTTGTCTCTTTCGCTACTATTCTTTTGAACAGTATAGTTGCTCGAAATTTGATTGTATTAGAAAAGAGAATTGTTGATACACCTGCAGAGTTAGTATTGAATGTTGATGCGGGTTTGCTATGCCTTCATCTTCGGCCCTGAATATAGAGGCAGCAGGATAGAACAGAATTTATTTGCTTTCCATAGATCCTTCATAATGCAAGCCAAGTATATGGAACAAGAATACAATATGGGTCCTGATTGATTGAAGCCCTCCGATCGACTCTGGAATTGCAGTTGGCAGTGGACCTTTTTCGACATCCTGCCCAAATTTCTTGAGTGGCTGAGCGATGTTGGCTTGTCTGATAGAACTCGGCTCCGTGGAGTAAAAAAGTAAATTATATTCTGCTCTTCGTATAGTCAGTGAACTCACTGTACGATTCCCGTTGTCGTATTATATTCTGTGCACCGTTTTTATATACTCTGTGCCACAAATGGACTAACGTCATCATTTGGCAAATATGGCTATCACAGGAATAAGTTTTAGATGGCTCGATATATTAGAAAAGGAATTTGATGAAGCGTTTGTAGATTTGGACATTTTAATAGGTACGCACATATCCCCATGACTTTCAGTAGTGGTGTTCTAAGGTGTTGGTTTTGTGTGAGTATATATTGTTTTCACGTGGTGACAGATGCAGCCGATTGTACTGACATTAACTGAAGTTTTATTACGGCAAGGAAATTTGTATGTTCCAAATAGTACACTTGTAATTAAACACGTGGAAATATATTATCTTCGCATTCTTAAGGACCAATTATAATTTCCGCACACTTTGCGGATTCTCGTTTGATGTAAATGGGCTCCATAGTATTATATTGCACATTATATTTCTGATTGTTGTTACGTGATTAGCATGTGCTGTATGTGAATACAATATTTTTCTCTTAAAACGTTGAGGTTTTCAGTCTAGCAGTTAAAGCCGTGCCTTTACAATATGGATACAACTTGTGTTTTATAAGTTAAAACTAATTTGAACTTAAGTTTGGAAGTCTCAGTTCGGTTGGCTTATGGCACAAGCTGCCTTCGAAAAAGTAGTATAAATTCTGCCATAATTGAGAGATTGTGCTCATTTTATGCTCATTACAAACAAAACGCCCTTTCCAATTATTAATTACACCAGTTGAGGTATGTACCAAATTGAGCTATTCATACAGCTGGTGAGATGTCATTTGGTCATTATGTGGTCCCTGCAGGCCTTTTTAGAGTGCCCACCAACACAATCACAAGCACCCTTTTCATGAAATGTTAAGACTCACTGCTATGAACACCTCAAATTCTACTGATTTTTACATTGTTTAGCTTATTGATATTACATTTTAAGTACTATATTAAACTTTTGTGTTGATCATTTACTTGCTGACACTACCTCTCCATCTCATCTTTTGACCTACAGCTAGTGGACAGCATCAGTCAGCTACTGCTGAAGGTTTGACATCTTGAATATGTCTGCCTTCTAGGTTGTTGCATCGTGTAGTCTGGTAGAAACTTATCATTGTTTTAGAGGTGCTTGCTGCCTCAATCATCAGGGTGATAATTATTGTCTTCATATAATAAGATGTTATTTTCTTACCTGTGTTTTCCCATGAGAAGAAGTCAAAGTATACTTATAAGTGATGTGGGAATGTTTTACTCTTGATAGATTTTTTGATGTGGCATTCCTACTGATGTCACCACATTGTAAAAACTAATTTCATGTACAATCGCAGTCCCAAATAAAAATAATGCCACTGCTTTTGCAATTAAGTTTCCTAAGAACATTTTCATGTGGTACTTCAGGAATTGACTGAATATAAGTTGTAATTCTCCACAAGAAACTTCTGTATGCAGGGTGAGAACAAAAGAACTTACATTTTCAAAATGATATGGAAAGCAAATGCAGCATACTTAGAACTTCATACCTACACCAATTGATAAAAAGTTTTCAAAGTTTTGGACGCATCTAACAGACTTTATTTATGCTTCATTAGTCACAAAGCAGATGTTAAGATGGTAATTCAACTCATCCCAACTCTGTGCAGTGTGTCTCTAGTGGTAGAAGCTATGGCAGTTGTGATTCACTGCTTGAACTGTGCATACATTGCTGCAGAGGTTGCATGGTTCCATGTGAAATTGTGTGCAAAATGCACGTTGCTCAACTGGTACAGACTGTTTCTTTGCTAACTGCAGAATGAACTCTTCCAACTAGTGGAGGTGCGCAACAGTAATCACATTTGAAACAAAAACTTTCAGAGGTTTTCTTTTGACTGGTGTGTGTGTGAAATTCTAAGTACACCACATTTGTTTTCTGTATTATTTTGAAAGTGTAAAGTTCTTTTGTGCTCTATATAATAATTTGTATACTAGATGGGGCATGCCCATTAACCCTGTCCTTTTAACTATCAATTTGATTATCTGTTTATGAGAAAGTGATGATTAATGATTAATTAGAATATTTTATTGTACAAAAATATGACTAGCACTTTTAAAAAATGCCTTTTTGTGTGTGACAGTGTGTCTGATTTTACTATGAATAATATCTTGCTTGTAGGTGATCTTGATGCTGAAGATCCAGACATGGTTCATGCTGCACACCAGAAGATGGCAACACTGAGCTCCTGTTTTGCCCAGTTAACTCACAAGGCTCAAACTGTTTTCCAAAACAGTGCCAAGGTTGAGGTTAGTGGCTATGCTATGAATTGTTATGTGCATTACTAGAATAACAAACTCAGAAAGTGTATTTTGTACAGGAATATATATATCCTCATGCGTTCTTTGTAACATGAATTTGAGTATGAAAGCTGCCTTTTTTTTTTTTTTTTGTAGTTCTCACTTAGGCAACCAGGTCACAGTACTTCATCTACCTCAGAATTTTTCTTATCTGTCATTTTATGTTCACCATTTGTAGGATATTCAAGATGAAGAAAGCACAGGAATTGGTTTTAGACTCTGACTCTGACGTTCACGCATTTTCTGTAATATCTTCACTGTAACATAAAAAATTTGTTGTGTCATTCTTCTGCCTTGCTCAAACCTAGGTCAGGTAGGGTTTTGGCCTCTTCCTCCTAACAATTTTGGTCTTCTTGCCATTTCTCTGTCTTGCTTAATTTCTGATCTACAGCAACCACCCTTACAGGGACTCACACTCAAGACTGTTTTTGCCTTTTACCTCTTCCTATTCTTGGGGAGTAACCAAGTTTGGTGCAAATAAGTTTCTCCATTCTCATGCTATAAGCTAACATGCACAATTTAAAATTTTTAATTTTATTATGAATTTACAAATTTTTGAATTGATAGAATAAGGTGGCTAAGATGTGGATTTTATGACTTGGGCTATGAGATAAGTTAATGCTTTCCTAAAATGTTTTTAGATATTTCTTTCTTATTTTGACATTCTGTAGTGGAATGAAGAAGGAATGGCAGCTTGGGGAGAACTGTAAATATTTTGACAGATTGACAAGATTAAGAGGGATTTTCATAAGCAAACAAACCCATTGAAATGGATTACACTCTTACAGATGAATGTCTTATAATCTAAGAATCCCCTAAAATCACATCATACACAAAAGTATCATATTTTCAAGGTGTATAAATCTTTAATAATGTCATGACATAATGGGACAGAGGTATCCCATTCAGCCTCACTTATGCAGTATGGAACAAATAGATCCCTTTCAGCCTTTAAAGGTTAAGGAAGAAATGAAGAATACAATAATCAAAATATCTTATTGATCTTATTACAAATGAAGACGTTACAGCAGGTTGAAATGAGAAGTTCCAGAAAACATTCAACTCTCCTGAGCTCCACTGTTCATGTTGCGATGTTGTATGATTTTTCCATGACCTTAGAGCTTTCATTTTTGTGATGCAGGACATAATGATGTTTGTTGAAGGGATTAAAGATTATGTTTAAGTATTCCCATTCTTGGTGTAATGCGTAAAAATACATGTGCGTTTGCATAAAAATTCTGACATGTTGTAAAAAGATGGATGCTATTGGTCTTTGTTATTCAGTTGCTGGAAGTTTTTGGTAAATGTTCTGTGTCTTGATCACCGAAACATTGCATTTGACCTCACTCCCTTTGTAGTAATAACATATACATAACCTTTATTTAGAACTGTCTCGTCTGTTCGGTTGTTACCTGTTTCCTTCTTCTGAAGTGGTTCCTTTTATTTCATCTGTTATATTTGTAAATTTGAAGTGATCCATTATTTCAAGTGCAGATCCATTTTTCATGTTCGTCAATTCTGTAGCGAGCTCTTGGAGTCTACTAAGGTACAGCTGTTGTTGAGTATCATGATGTCTGTCTTTAGTATCATTCAATGCAGAAATCATGTTTTGTATGGCATCTATGCTGAATATTGTTGAAGGTTTATGTTTTATCCTTGCAGTATCTTGATTTTCACTGTTATTTTGTGCAGAAAAAATGAAGTTGTTTACCACTGATGTATCATTTTTATCATCTTGGCTAAGTTGCTTCCTTGCTAGTAAATTTATCCAGAAGTTGTGAAGAGTTCGGTTGTCCTTTCCTTCATGAGTGTAGAGTTCCATTAGTCTTTTGAGAAAACTTGGTACTTGGACCTCTGATGTGGTATATGTATAGTTTGAATTGGATTGTGTTATATTTTTTATAGCTGTGTGTGATATGTTTGTAACAGATATTGTACTGTCAGTTGTAGGACTTTGTTTCTCAGAGATGTTAAAAGTTTGGCTATTGTGACTGGAGGTATCGCTTGATTGGTTGGTGAGAAGAATGTTTTGGGACAGATGATTTACATCACTACTTTTATTTTTGTGTTGCTTAATTATTAAAACTGATATTGCAGAAGCTTCGGGAAGTTGTGAAACATCTGACGAATAATTCTTACTTTCTTTATTATTTATTGCAGCTGGGATTCCAATATCACGTATTCCTGTATTGTTTGCCGAATTTAAATTCTGTGATTGATTATATGCAAATGTTCCATTAATATAATTCAGTTCGTCATGCAGTGCAGCATTTATATTTTGTTGGAAGTCTTCACCGACATCTTTTTTGCCCATATTTGTTTGTGCAACATTTGTGTTGTTTTTATCATTTGAGGCAATTGCATGGACAATTGATAGTGTTGGTTGAGGTCTCTGTTGATTTGCTGTTGAATCTAAATCCTGTATTATAGCAGCAAAATTATGCAACTCAAGTCCAAGTAATTTATCATAATCTTCATTCTCCAGTTGAAGGTTGATATTATGAGGTATAATTTGGATAGTTACTTGTGCAGGTTTAATGCTATCGTTAGTAGAATTTTTGGTTGTTTGTAAATCAAAACGATGCTGTCTTTGAAATGTAGATGAATTCACGATTTGGTTTATGTTTGCAGTGGATGAACCATGTTTCGCTCCTTCTACCAAGATTTCATCGTCATCATTTTCCTCTTCTGATGTATTCTCAAGAGATTTTAAAGTCTGTAATGACATTGATTCCACTTCTCTGTTGTTTGTATTTCCTTCAGTTTCTTCAGCGGTATCTTCTCCAAATCCATCCTCAGGTCTGAGCAAGCAATTGTTATCATTTTCTGTTTCTGTATCTTTGCCTGTGATTGTCTCAGCTGTTATATTTTCATCTGTTATTTTATGTTTAACTGTAACACCTTTCCTTTTCAGTTCTGCTAGAATTTCTATTGCTATTTGTTCATTGTCTGGACAATCTGCTGTATCATCTTTGTATTTATCTCTGTCTTCTTTGGCTACAATGTTGGTGGTTGACATTTCAGCTATTGATTCTTGGAGTTCCTGCAAGGAGAAAGGTGAATTTGTTAAGACCGTATTTACTTTTCCTAGTGGGTGGAAAAGTATGAAGTGGAAAAAAGAAGCTGACCTCTCCAGGGTTTAATTCTGTTCCCCCTTCAATTTTTAAATTCGTGCTTTGCTCTTTGATCAATATTCAATACTTACATTGAGCTACATATTTTAAATGAAACTTTTAAACAATTCTGTTGTAAAAATTGTAGAACTGAGAGGCTGCATTGTTACAGTGCTAAATGTGTCTCTTTTACCATTTTAGTTATGACTCAAAAAAGTTAAATAATTTGACTGGGGTCTGCTCTCTTGAAAACTTCATTCAGGTATGTGGATATTCCCCCTCTGTTTACCATACCAGAAATCATGTCTGCCTGTGAAATAGTCTGTAACTCTTGAAAGAAAATAACAATGAAGACCATCACTAGATGATACCTGCAAACTGGCCGCGATATTGTAAAGCTTCTCGGTGCTTGCTGCTTCTTCTTCTTTGATGTCTGAGATAGCCTCTTCAATATACTTATTACTTTCAAGAAGTTGCTCTTTGACACCAACTATTGACAACTGAAGATGTTTTCTGTCCTCATTGCTTTGATCAGAAGCTTGCAGTATTGTGTTGGTTGCTTGGCTGAGGGTTCGTGTCAGGTGACTGCTGTGAGATTTAAGTGCTTCGTGGAGCATCTGTACCTCACGATCTGTGTTGATGCTCCTGTTTAAAATCACATTATACTTTACCAAATAAGAGTAAACTGTTACCTACAAATGCAGAAGATGAAATGTAAAGTAAAACAAATATAGAAAAAGCTGTAGAAATCTTCAGAACAATATATGAAATAGAGGTAATGAACATTTAAGAAAGATTAGAAATTATATCATAGAAAATACTTTAAAATATTGGCTAACAGAAGTGTGGAATGCACTTTGAGTTTATTATTACTCATGCAATTCTTTGCTATGTTCCATTCAGAAATTGATAATTATTTTCATCATCTCCTTGAATCATAATTGTAATGTTTTATACAAAACATTACTACTTTTATTATTGTAATTTTTTGATATATATGAAAGTGTATCAGATTGGGTTGCATGACATTTCCATCATCCTGTATTAACCTATCTATTTTGTGGTGGACTTAATGCAGTACACTTTTAAACAGCTGGTTGATTCATGGATATTTTAGTAACATTACATCAACTGTAGTATGGTTTGTGAGCAAACTGTGGACCAGAATGTGGGAAACTTCATATTTGACATTGAAGTAGAACATTAATACATTTACGTAGATACTGATAATTGTAGTAAAACAGATGATTACCTGTTGGTGATGGCATCCAGTATTCTCTCAAGCACTTGCGTAAGTTTACCTTCCAGTTGTGGCTCATCCAACTGAATTCGATGACAACTCTCGAGGAATAAATTTTGTGCAAGCATTAGCATTTGGAAGCTGGAATCAAACTTTCTTCCCAGCTCATTTAGTCTTCTCTGAACCAGTCCCAGAGTATCTAGAGCTATATCCATTGAACCTGTAATCATAACTCAAAGATTATTAGAGCTGTAATTGTTATGCTGTTAGCTTTGAATACTGAACAGTGGTCATCATACTTTCATTTTATAAGATGTTGAAGTAATGTTCTTGCTGAGAAATTATTTATTTTCCTGATCATAGAATTAAATCATGCTAAGTCTTGATTGGCCATTTCCTGGCCCTCACAAGTTTTCAAACGAACAGTGCAATGCTGTGTTCTATTTGCTACACATCTCTAGGACTATTTTTACTATGAAAACTTAAAATTGAAAGATAGTGTCATTGTGCATGAAATTGAAGTTTTTTATACTATTTATGAACTAGTTTTAATTGTAAGATGGCTGCCTTCTCTGTTGTAGCATGATGTCTGGTAGAAGTTTACCAACATTTCAGAGTCCTTGCTGCAGGACAGCTATTTTCAAATTCATGAAACCTCAAATCGTACTTATATTTGAACAGATTATTTTGTGGAACTCTGCAGGCCCCTGAATCAGGGCTGTGGAATCAGTACTAAAACCTCCGACTCCTTCATAAAAGCTCAATATGTATTTATAATGGTAAACCTACTAAAATGGTAAATGGGATCATAAGAGATTTCATCACCACCACGTGAATCGTCAGCCTACTTTTTAGACTTATAACCTGTATTTAAGTGTAAGTCTGATGGTTATTGCAGAAATCAGTTGATTTGTAGACACTTTGTATTCTGAAGGTACCGGAGCCAAAGTTACAAAGCATTATTCCCACACCATGTGGCTCAATGCGTCATTGAATCTCCCTAAGCGTGAGGCTGCCGGCGGCTCACACAGTAGCAAAAGTGTTCCTAAGATTTCATATCGAAGTCAGAGTCGGTACGTTTTTATCAACTCCGACTCCACCTAAAATTTCTTCCGACCACAGCCCTGCTATGAATAGAACTTCATTGCATATTTTTAGACATAAACACATGTAATGAAAGTTGGCTGTCTCACACAGCATCTTTCCTTCATGCTCACCATCAGCACTAGTTTTGTGTAATCATGTGTGTACTATATCCTTTACCTTCTTGTCTATCTCGGTCTGACTGGATCAGACCTCGTCGTCCCATTTGAACAGCAATGGTACGTATTCCATCCTGCAGCTCTCTTCGTGTAGCATTTGATAGAGACATGGAGTCCTTCACAAGACCTTCCAGCAATTGGGTGCGCCGCCACATGTCATTGTACATGTTGTTTGCCTAATCAGTAGACAGAACGTATACATATGATGCCCTTTGGCTAAGATTGAACATTAGTATACACTACCTCCATGTTAGAGTATCTTTCTAGAAAAGTTTGTTGATATTAAGCTACCCAGAAATTCCCTTTATATTTTTATATATATATATATATGTGTTTGGAAGATTCATGACTGTTCAGAAAAGTCTGTTATTGGACTGACAGTTCTGTGATTGTGTTTTAGAATTGCCTGTGATCATGTGATGTTTTGCCTGCCCTAATGATACTAATATATCTTTGATTAACAAGCATAAACAATGGTTAATGTATATATATAGTAATTAGCACAACTCTTATACTTCATATTGAAGTGATCCTCTGAATCTCACCTTGAAGACTGCCTATCCTGACTAGCATGATTTACCACATCCACTTAAGCTAAATACAGATAAAAGTGCATAATTTTTGGATATCTGTTACCATAGATTATTTTATAACCCTATATAATAAAGTGATACTGGTGTCTCTACCACATACATCTGCCATGTAGTTATTACTGATTGTAGGAAATTTAAAGGATCAAGATTGTGTCTCGCCCCCCCCACACACACACAACATAACATCCGTACTAGGTTTCATACAAATTAGCCAGTGCAGAAGTTGAAATATGAAGACATACATGCAGCATGGAGATTTCAAAAGCTGCCTGTTCTGTATGAGGGGAAGATAGACTAAAGCCATGGAAACCTTGAAGCTAAAAAGTAAATAAATTCATAGGTAAATAAACAAACTTATGCAAAGTTGTAATATGCTGCAACATAATATAAATATACATAGTAATCTAGATCAGTGGTATTCAACGCGAAGACATCTTAGGGGGTACGTGAAACTTTAAAAATATACAGAGTATACACAAAAGAATGGTGAGGTTTCAAAGTTAATAAAAAATTTATTTCTCACCTTACACAGGCACAACATACACCGTCAGCAGCGGCAACTGTCCAAGTTTCTCATGCGTTAATTACAATCCTTCAATGTGTGCACCCTGGGTCACACGACACACATCCACACAGTAATCAAACTCATCCCATCCAGCGCTGTGGAAAACACGATTGAGAAGCACTCGTACATTCCTGTGAAAATGGGGGGGAGGGGGGGAGCTCCGTCCAGTTGTAGAATGTAATCGTCATAATTGGTATTCAGTTGGGGTAACAACCAGCTTTCCAACATGTCCAAAAATGAGTCGCCAGTCACAGTTGCACCATTCTTTTGTGTATACCCTGTATATATTATTTTATGATAAACGCTAAATAATCAGTAATGTAATTTATTTAATTTATTTTAGATGTAGATTATATATTATGTATAACTTGAATTATACACCATCAACTTTGGGGGTACAAAGTTGAAGAGAAATTATATCTGGGGGTACGCGAACAAAAAAAGGTTGAATACCACTGATCTAGATAAACTGTTTACTCAGTACCGATATTTTTGATAGAACTGCTTTTGGGCTCATGTGGAACTGAGGTTCTTTCTTCAGGTGTATAGTCGTTTGGCAATGAATGTAATAATTCACTTCCATCTAGTGCTGAGGACAAGAAAACCTATACCTCCATTCCACCATATATCTGCATGGTGTGGTGCTTAGTTAAACAGCAGTGACAACTATACTGTATTTTACTACATTGAACTAGATTATGTGCTTTGCAGAAGTTTATTTTTAGTCCAATTTTATGGGACCAGTTTTAACAAAATTTCCTATTTTTGTGGCAGGCACACAAAATTACACTAGTTTCAGTTTACACAATGTCTGATTTGGGTGTCATGACAGATGTTTGGAAATATGCAACTTACATGGGTCTTTATGTAATTTGTAAAACAACAATATGGTAACCACACATTTACATAAATTATATGTGAGATATTTTTTGTAAGTTAACAGTTACAAACTGGTGACAGTACAAAGGTTTGAGGTTATATCCAACAAGTTTAACATGGGTAGAATATGTGCTGAAGCAATAAGTTCTTCTCAGACAGGACATGTGAGCCGGCGTAGCTCAGTCGGTATAGTGACTGGTTACGGACTGGACGAACGGATTTTGATCCCCGACGGGAGCAGAGGATTTTTCCTCTAGCCTCTGCGTCCAGACCGGCTCTGGGGGCCCCCCAGCCTCCTATCCC